ATTCAAGTTTAAACATTTTTTCTGGAAAATAAATTATACATGTGATAACTATATAGGCTAATGAGACTAAATCTCGAGCATCCAATTGAATAACTGATTAATGTGAGGGAAATGTTGTCCCTGGTGCAGGTATTAGCTGCAAATGCTTGAAAGGTTAGTGCTGTTTGTTTTGCACAGATAAACAAAGGGAAACAATGTCAGAGGCCAAAAAAGTAACTCAATTGATTCCCAAAATCATGAAGAGGAAAGGGAATGGTGACAAATTGGATAACATTACCTATGCTGAGAATGCATTTCAAAAGGGAGAAGAGAATTGCCTTTCTGATCGCTATGTAGTTGCTGAAGATACATAAGCTAATGGAAATTAGCTACATTGCATATTCTATTTTCTTTTTCTTTAGCTCCTTTTTTTTTTCTTTCCCATATTCTTACTGCACCATGAAGAAGAAACAGAAGGAAACCACAGGATTGCTAGATAGACTGACATTGTTAAACTTGTTCACAGATGTAGCATCAACATCTGAAATATCATTATGGTCAGTTGTGCATATGACAGTGTCTCCGGACCATAACTTCTCCAATATTGGAGTCTGAATGGCCTGAACCTGGGTATTCCTGCTTTGCAGACTGGCCTCTCTTTTGAGTGTACACTGAAGAGGCAGCTTTGACTGAAGCATGAGTATAGGGTGGAAAAGTGATCTGCATGGCACGTAAGGCATAGCTGCATTGATCTGCCTTGATTCAGGCAACATCCGTAAGAGCTCTTTCTCCTGCCTTATCTCCTCTCTCCAACTGTCTGAACCTTTCTTACAGAAGAGCAATGGATGGATGAACGATTGTTGGATCAATCTGTATATCTTCACTCATTGGAAGATGAAGAGGAACCTCAATGGGATTGATTCAAGCACTCTTTAATGAGATCTCATACGCATATGCACATATATATAGGACATAGGTAGGACTTAAGATGATTATTTTAATTCATTCATTCCGGTTATTTGATTCTGTATGACTAGAAGTCGGAAAACAAAGGCAACTGAACTGCAATGTGTAACAAGGCAGAGATATGTGGCCATGTGAATGGGTGAAAGTACGTCCAGGGAAGAAAATGGTCAGGAGCAAAATTTGAAGAGATGTGGAAGGTAGCATTTGGAAGTGTTTCTTTAAGGAGAATAAAAGACTGGGTGCGTTGTGTGTCGGCTTGTCGTAGAGGGCTGCTGGTATGCCTTTGGAGTCTTTTGGTGGGGGATTTGGTCGGACCTTCCCATTATATTTAGCTTTGAGCATTCTCTTTTTTCATTTGTAGACAGCACAAAGCTTGAACACTCTGAACACAATTCGGACTCTGATGTTTTTATCAAAGAAAACCCTTTTATGGATAGGAGAGAAAAGAAGAATCAACCAAAGCCAAGCCCCTCTTTCTCTCTGTACATGTTCTGTTTTGTCTTGAAGCTTTTGGATGGAAGTGGCATGAAAGATGAAAGTTGAGATATTAGATTGGATCTGTGGTTGTTGGGGGACTGAAATTTGAAAAGCAACAGATATCCTAAAGCTAGAGATAGAGGTCTTATTACCCCAAACAAAAAAATAGAACTCGCATGGATTTAAAACAAGTGTCATTTATTGAATTTACTGTATGATTTTATCAAATCATATTTTAATCCACATGTTAACATATGTAATTAAGTATAGAAAACAATTTGAGAAAATAACTCTTAAAAAGATAATTAAAGATTTTTGATATATCTAGTTTAAAAGAATTTTTCTCTTATATTTATTTTTACAACCAAGTCTTAATAAAAGAAAATGAATTAAAAAATTTGAATTTTTTCTTTGGAAAAAAGTTGTTCAATCATAGTAGTATAAAAGATGGTCTAAAAAAAATTAGATTAAATTATATTAAATTATAAAATAAAACAATAATCATTAAATAAAAAAGACCTCAATTATCATAATCTAATATAGTTCGAATTACATAATATTTTTTCCTCAAAACTGTAAAAATGCTGCAATTTATAAAATTAATTTTACATTGATGGCCCCCACCAAAAATAAAATAAAATAAATAAACATTGACGGCTCAAAATAAGAAACCGAAAACCGTTCATACAA